ATGCGCCTGCCGCAGGTAGCCTGGTTTACCCCCCCAACCTCCCCCCACCTCTACCGAGGCCCTCGTCCCTTGTTAGACTGGAACAAAAAGCCCTCTGACATGGCAAATAGTGTGTCCCAAATAATTCAAAGTCCGTCATCCAGAAAATGTGGAAACAAGACGTATCTAGCTGACTGAGCAGACCATCTATCTTTTCACATGTTTTCCTGCCCTCTTGACTCGCCATGAGAGAGAGCAGTCATTTCTTAACCCTGTGGCGATGCATTTATACTGAACCGTATCACAAATGCACCCCCCCCCCCTTTGTGATGGCAACCCTGCTGATTTCCTTGCTGCACATCTGAAATCTTTATCAGTTCCTCAAAGGAGGCTCTGGTCTCTGATGCGCGATTTTAACATCACCCATGGGAAATGGAAGGAGGATCGAGATCCCCCGGCTCAGGATTGTTACTAGAAGATTGATTGATTTTAGGTAAACTTTTTTTTCTTTGTAGGCAACATCAAGGCGACCGGAAAGCCTGCGATAGTCATTGGTCAGGTGCCAGAAACTCCTGTTTTGGCCGTTTGAAACACAGGCCGGAGAGTACATCTGTTCACGGTCCTTTTCAGGACTGTTCAGGACTGCCTAATTGCTAAAAGATGTTCGCGGCGCTGCTCAATATTAGCTGTGGGAAAAATGTGCCGGAAACAAGGCATATTTGGAGTCGCTTTCCATCTGCGTTTAATCCAGCGGTGCGCACACACAACAGCTGGCGAGTCGCAGAGCAGCGTGACGTCCTCCTTCACACCACAGCTGTCATTTTCACAGCTTCTCCCCAGACGTCAGACACCGTCGGGAGGGTGTGCGGTTTTAGCGTGACTACGAATGGAATCTTATGTTCCCATGCACTTTTAGTGTCGACCAAACCATTACGACGTGAACTCATCTTCAACGCGAGGATTACTAACGACTTTGATTCGCAAGACGTGCTCGCCACTAACTCCCCCGGCTTATGTCTTGGAGACAAAACACACCCTGTCATCATCAACAAGGCAGGCTGGCTTGGGCCAACCCGTTTGTAACACTGTAAACCACTCAGGATAACAATGTGGAAGGCATGATGCAACGATGAGTTGTATCAGGGTTCTGTTTGTATTGCTCTCTAGAATAGAAAAATTCTTGTATCGTGAGGCACTTTACAATCCGATCACTCCGTTTCCCATCAGCATTTGTTAATGGTGCGCGGGACGTGATTAAGAAGCGAAGCATCTCAATGAACTTGCAAACAAATGTGCTTTAACAAGGGTTGGCGCTTGGGTGAGCGATCGCAGCCCCCACCCCTCGCCTTGCGATTGGTTTCCATGGAAGGAAACAAATGTGTCTGTGGGAGGCTCTGCGAGACAAAACCACAATCGAGCTGTAATGTACTGCGATGTGTCATCAGCCTTGAAGTGCACACCTGCGCCTCTTGCTTGCATAGAGCAACTACTGTATCAGCGATGACAAGACATGAGCTCAATTTATGGTATGCTCACCTCATTGTTAGTTAATGAATGCAAGCTGATATTCGGTGAACTGAGGATTTACTTTATTATTGAGCAATTTTCTGGCAAGCTCGCATACGTTGTATTGCGACATTTTATGCGCTACTCTGAATGCGGTGGCAACTTCAAAGTCGGCAGCCTTGAAGTCATACAATTAGGAGTTAAATGAGAGTTCCTGGGGGAAAAAAAAATGTTAAAAACTGCTCAAAATCGTCAGGGATCGAAATGTGATGACACGTAGCATTTTGTTACTGTGGATGGACTCACCTTCCAGGCACACTTGTCCATCTGCACATTCGGTGCAGAGTTCATAGCAAGGACATCGCTGAATGTTTTACTGCACGTAGTTTAGCTTATTTTTACAGTTGTTAAGACATTACCTGAGTATTTAATTAAGATTTACATGATAACAGTTCCATTGTAAACTGTGCATATTAACATCTACCCTCCACAAATGTGCCATTTTGTAGCTATTAAACCTTCAAATGAGGTCAGGAAAAAGGAAATGATTCCTCTGCATAAATGCTGAGTCCACTTTTTGGTTGAGATTTTTATTTTTTTTTTAAATGTCAATAAAGCCAAGATAAGTGGCAATTAGACGCCCGTTCACACACCGTACTGCTCGATAGGCTCTCATGCTTGACGTCACCTTCTAAGCCTCCTGCTCGTGTGTTTGTATCTGCGTGGACTTTGGCCGTAGGCCGAATATGCATGCAATTTAATAACCTCGGAAGGCTGGGGCAATCGATGCTCTGACCTCCATTGTGAAGAAATCATTTACACTGGTGAGCCAACGAGGCTCCACCCTTCCACAATGTAGCGCTACATTTGTATTGGAATGCCACAAAAGGGAATTCCTTCCTGCGTGCCATAGAAAGGAAGCAAACTAAAAAGGTGACATTTTTGAAGTGGTGAAGGAGGTGATGTGTGAGTCACAATGATGAAGAAGCTCCTTAAGTGTTGCTTCTTGTGCCATCTCGCTCTCCCTCCCCGTCTACCCTTATTAGGTGCTTCCTGTGAGTGATTACATCATGATGCAGGCAAGTGGGGTGGTGGGCGAGGTTGCTGAAAAAAAACAAAAAAACCCGAACACTGAGCTGACATACCTCACTTTTGCCGGAATATGTTGCAATAACAAGAGCAAACTGTACTGTTATAACGCCATTGCATCTTTTCTATTAGGAATCACACTTAAAATACAACATTTACTAGCAGACTACAGCGCACCCCCATTCTGGCCTCTGAGGAATCCCAGAAACGTGCTCAAAATTAGAAAGCGTCCATGTCAGGGTCTTCAATGTAATGATAAGCCTTGAGGGTTTAGGGAGCCCCCCTTGTGCCCGAGTTGTAAAGCATTTACAAACTTAGACACAAGAACACTCTGTTCTCTTAACACATACACACACCTCAGCTTTAGGCCACTATTGATTCAACACATGAGGTGATTGTCGCTATTGTTTGGATGTGTTTGAATAGCAAGCGTGTCACTGCGTGGGTTTGTTTAGCCTGGTTCGGTAAGGGCGACGTAGTTAATAAACCACTGCGTCACTGCAAAGTAGGCTGCACGACTGTAAACTGACAGTATGGGAGCATTGCATGTGACTACAGCCACATTAGTTACACACAGACAAGTTAAAGATAGCCGTTGACCAAACTCTTTTTTTCATGGTGGAGGTAATATTTTAACATAACTCAAAAATGTTTACATTAATATATTCTGTGGTGCCCTACTAGTTTTAACACAGTATTCTGCTTAACATTGTGATTGTGGAAAATTAATAAAGCTGCAAAATCCATCTCAGGGGGCGGCCATGTTGCCACCTGCTAAAAAAAAAAAAAATTCTCAGGGCTCAGGTAATGATCACTCACAGCAAAGGTTGAAAACGTTACATGACCAATCTAAAAAAAAATAGGTGACAAATTTGTGCCAAAAAGTTGGCTGGATAAGCGTTAAGCAGATCTAAGTTGTGGTGCAAGTTTGGAGTCGTCGATATGGCTGGAACGTGTATTACGATATAAGTATTTGATTTCAGTCGATATCGATAATTATTGATTTTTTTTTTGTAACCTATTTAAAATGTTAAAAAAATTTAATGATTTAAGGTATAATAAAACCTAATTACCCAGATGAACGATACCACTCAAAATATCTACTGGTAAAACAAAAACGATGTACATTCACTTAGTATTGCAGTGTAATGTGCACTATTGTTTACATCCATGATCACCTGAAGCAGTGCCGTAAATGCTTACTTGCAGAAGACCCGATACCCCATTGTTGCTACAGTTACATTAACTTTCATCATCACACACAGACTCATGATCGGGAGTGGAAGCCGGTCTCCAAGTGCCCACTCCACAATGGCCGACTTTGCATCATCCGCAAGTGGAGTTCTTGCAGTTCTACCAGCACGCATCTATGAAAATACCAACTGAAAGAAAACTCCACCCATGTGCACACTTACACTGCATTTTGTGCTGGACTTAGCTGGGCAAAAAAATCGAGCCCAGAGTCTTTGCTGCTTTACATCTATCTGCTCACTTTGTTCTTCCTAGTCATTTGAACATGGTGTGTCTGAACATTAAATTAGGCCAATAGCAAACAGGATCAGCTAGAGAAAAAGGCTCGGGGCGATCAGATAAGCTGTGCTGCAAAACAATGTAGGCTTTGTGCAGCTCGCAGCACACTGCATGTGTGCAGGTACAATAACTGTGTGCTATTTTGGTTGTTTTCATTGTAACAAAGCCATGTTGGAGGGCAAAGTTATGCATCACATGCAAAGCTTGCACTTAGTCGAGAAAAACGTATGTTGACAAATGTATGAATGTGAACGGTACAATGTCCTGTCATGCAAGCACTGCATAAATGTGTGATGAATGAATATCATTAAAAAAAAAGCGTTTCCCCCTTTTTTTCCGTGGTTGTCGTCTTGTATAAAGAGCACTGAACTGGAAGACAACGTGAAGTTTAACAGCCGATACTGACCTCCCCCGCCCGATAGTGCCCCTTGAATATTTTAAACATCACACCAGAACCTAGCACTGACCGTATCGACCTATCTGATTGTAGGATGCTGTATGACTGGACCAGGAAGTCACATAAGGTCTATGCTCTACTGAGTGCCATTCTAGTTATAAATGGCTGTTATAGCACAGATAAAAGTCAAGGCAAGACGGGTGGTTTTATTTACACAGCACATTTCATACACAACTCAATGTGTTTCACAAAAGCAAAGGCACAACACCTAAGAGCATTTCCAAACACAACAGTGAACCACAGTCTTTTTTTTTTTTAACTTGAATCATATTATTCTAAAATAACAGAACTCTTACTTGAATACAGTTTTTGGGCACTCTAGCTTGCCTTGATTGCGTATAATACAACAACAATATTAGCATTATATCTTTTTTTCTGCAGCCTCTTGCATAATTTGGCGCCCCCCCCCCACCCGCCAAATAAATAAATAAATAAATAAATAAAATAAAAGGGCGTGTGCGCCTTTAAGGGTGAGCGTGCGACAGTGGGGAGGGCCAGGGCGTCTCTTGACTGGAGCTGCTGCCTGACAGCCTATAAGACGTCAGCTCGTTCCCATTCAACACTTTATCCAAAAGTGTCACAATCTGTAAGGGTGGAGGGGAGGGGGGGAGCGTCAGCCATTCGTAGTCGTCTACTGGTTCCCCGATGTTAACTCCAAATTATCGGTACGTTGCAAACCCACCGGAGCCATTTTAGGAGCCCGAAAAGGAGTTTTATCGGAGCGTTATAAAAGGGCGCCTTTTCGGGTGGGGGGAATCTTGGAGCAGTTTTTCTTGGTGAGTGCTGCAGTTCGAGTCGCGTAAAGTGCGCGCGACTTTGTTTGTCTCCCCGTGTTCGTGTGAGTATGTGTGTCTTGATGTCAGGAGTCATCGAGTGATGAAGCTTGTTGGGGGGATTCACCTTAAGCCCCCTTTTTAGATTTTTTTTAAAATTTGCTTTGAATTTTGGAGATGGATTGGGACACTCAATTACGAGCGTCTGCCCAAGCTACTAGAACAGCCTTAAAATAATGCAATGATGACAATAATAAGAGATATATTCCGACAACACCGCGTGCTCTTGTTATTAACATTACATTGACTTGTTTAGTTTACAATTGATGCTCCTCAAACATTGCTGCAAACATCCTTGTATGTGCTGTTTATGATTCATTACAATTTAATTTCTCACAATGATGCATCCTCAGTGTACGTGCGTGTCGCCAAACGTGTGTGTGTGTGTGTGTGTGTGTGTGTTGGTTGCGTGTGTTCCGTGGCGTGACTCAGCCTCGTTGCTAAAAGGCTTTTTAACCACGATTGTCTAAATCCTGTAAAGTGAGGGGGTGTGCGCTGCTGCATGCTTGCCGCACAGGTAAAGCGGGTATGGTTGCTCGGAAACCGCTGCAGGGGTGTCGTGCTGCGGTGGGTGCGGGGGTGGGGGGTAACTCCCTCTCTCTGTCAACCTCTCTCTTCTTTCTGCAAGACAGAGCGTGCCTGATTTGTGGTCACATTAGTTGCCGAGAGAGGGGTTTCACCATCCTTTTAGGGTATGGGGCATGTTTCTGGGCTGGTAGGAAAGGGTCTGCTTTTGTATCTGTGACACGCGACTATTACAAATGGGGAATACACCTGTCCATTTTAAGCCCAGGCGACAGTAGAAACAAGTAGCTCCAAGAGCTTCCTTCCGTTTTCTTAAATTGTATGCGCCAACAGTGCATCACTAACCTATGCTCATGCAGGAGCAAAGTTATAATGACAGTAAATCTTTGCATGAAAAACATTTGTATACCGCAATAAATTGAAAAAGAAAACTGCAAATACGGTAGTAACTGCAGCACGATGACGTATTCTTACACCGCTGCGCAAAGTAGTTTACTGTGTGCTGTTTGTAACCTCAAGCATGGCTCTGTGTGTCCTATGTGTTGTGTTGTATTACTTTGTCACTTTATGTTAACTGTTCTTTTGATGGCGGCGCGGGCACCCGCAGCGGCTCCTCTTGTTGTCTTGTTGTCTGGCTGAGAAGGAAGAAATTTCATCTGTGCTCTGTTATGTAGAGCACATTTGACAATGAACTTGTACTTGACTTGACGTTTTATGTCGGTAATGTAAGGACCCCTATGTCTACATAATGTTAGACTTAGATGCCAATGTACTCTGAGGACCCTCTGTTTCTCGACTGTACGTTTGAAGACCCTTTACCATGAGCCAAAAAGAGGAGCTTGGAATGAATAATTTTAGTACCTGATCCACCATGGTTGCATGATTTTAAACTGAAACCCATGGACTCATAGAACACCCGTATCTTCACCAAAAAGACATTGTCGTGTGTTGCAGTAGTTGAACAAGGATAGTTCAAGGGCCACACTTGTTTCATCTAGATTCTAGATGATTAACATGCACCCCCGACAGCCATAGAATCTATCAGTCTATCTATCTATCGATCTATCTAGCTATCTACCTAGCTAGCTAGCTATCTAGCTAGCTATTTGTATGTAATACGTTACACGGATAGACTCAACAGCAGAAGACTTAGAACCCCCGTTTCTTCACCATGTATGCCTTTGGCCCTGCAAAAATGGTATCTCTTCATACCGAGCCTTATCATGTGGAATGTTAACATTGCAGTATCATACAGTACATACAGTACAGGGTGGTCCATCAAGGTGGATTATACCTAAACACAGATGGACTTTTGGAAATCCTACTTTTTGATCACATACGTCTTTGGCCTTGGGGAAGGAAACGTTCGAGTCCAATTCTCAGGCCTGATGAGATGATGTTAGCATGGATTGTACCAAGGACACCCTAGCCTCTGTTCCTTGACTATGTACTGTTCTCTTTTGGCATTGGAAAAGCTCCTTCTGATATAATTAGCCTGATTGTGTGGTAGATTTGGTGAGGTTGTACTGAGAGTGACAGGGGAATCCCTATTCTTAAAAAGCTTCCTTGATCGGAAAGCTTTTAATGGCCGATTTTATGTGTTGACTGTTTTTATTGATCCGTTCCTCTTATCTGTTGTTTGATTTGATTGCTGTTCTGTTTACTGTTTCCTGTACTGAGCACTTTGATTTGTGTGCAAATAAAACGTGCGTTATAAATAAAAAATATACATTTCTTGAACGTTATTGCCTCTTGGGAACATGTACTTCCAGCTCCAGTAATTATCTTTATGGGGTACAGGAGGTTAGCAACAAGGACAGTTATGGACTTCTTGAATCCCTCTTGCTTGACCGTGTACCTTTTGTGCGAAGGAAAATGTATCTTAGAGTACAATAACTCTCACAAGGGGGTGATAAATTTGCGTAGCTTGTACTGAGAAGAGACCAAAAGTGTTTTTTTTCTTCCTGACCATGTATAATTTTAGCCTCAGAAAAAGGTCCCAGGTGGTCTAATAGTCCCACAACAAGGTTCAAAGGGGAAGATTCTACCTCCAGTGATGCTAGTGGACTCACGGAGTATACCAATCAGACGGAACTATATGGAATGATAAATTGTAGCTTGCGGAACACAAATAGATTCCATCTCACCCTATTCTCTTGCCTAATGATCCAAATGAAGTGGTTCCACACTCTGCATGGCCACGTGTCGTTTGTTTTAATCCTGCTGCCTGTAAGTGCTCCGGTGGTTGAGTGCCAGGATGAACTGTCTTTGCACCTGTTGCAAGAGGAAGCACAAGCCCCTGGGGTTCATTATCAAGGATCATATTGCTTCCCGTCCCCCCCCTCCCTGGCCCGCCGAACCTTGTCAACGGACCTGGGGGGCAGCCAGGGGTGGATGGCAACGGCATGCCTCGTTGGCGTTGTTTGGCTCCTACCGATGCCCCCCGTGCTTCCTGTTGTTTTAGGGCTTTGTTTCCTAGCAGCTGTCATTGCTGCGCATAAATATGCCTCACGGGAGACAAGGAATGAGTTTTTACAAGGGGGGGGCGGGGGGTGGTGTTATTCTCACTCATCACGCCGGCATTATAAGGAGGACTGCTCGTCTGTGGACACTGCACAGGTGACGCCGTATAAACACAGTCTCAAAAAGACATCGGCTGCTTTCTGTACTTTTTTTTTTTTTTCCCCCTTGACAGATTGTGAAATACTAAACAGGTTAATCCGGTCAAATCGCATCTGGATTTTGCCTCAAGGTATATTTGTGACCCCAGTAAATGACAGGGGGACAAAATCGACACGCTGCTCAGGTCTCCTTCCCCCTGAATATTGTAGACATAGTTTACTCAGCCCTGACACATACTCGACATGACACAAACATTCAGGTCATTTGACATGAGGAGTTGTTGCAACATCAGGTGCCGTTCTGGTAACAGGAGGAGCCCCTTCCTCTGCACTTCAGGCCCAGCCGGATTGCAGCAATGGAAGCACTCAGCTACTTTTAAAATGCTCCCTCCAGTCATGACAGGCAGGGATAGGGGCAGAGAACTGACGTTATATTTGTCAACAGCGATGACAGATGTCGAACGTTTGTTCAACCTCTGAAGTCGTTTTTATTTTTTATTTTTGCTAAAGTCAACTCATATGCCACCCTGGTCAATATGACTCAATATTTCCGATGTGCTTTTTCTCCAAACATGTCTTTCCCGCTCTTCAGTGCACCTGCTTTTGCATTCAGGTTTCAGTCTTTCCTCTGTGATTTATTTACTTGTGTGGGGGCTCCCTGTTGCAGGTACAAAAGTGGCAGCCAGCCGGGCCGACGATCCGAGAGTTTCCTGGCTTTGATGCGACCCGAGTGTGCCTGGAGCATGTCCACAGTGGGCCTGACTGCCCAGGAGACATCTTTTCCCGTAGAACACCCCTTCCTGCGGGGCAGCTACTGTCACAGCATGGCTGGATCAAAGTCATCGTGGAGCTATACCCACGACCTGGACAAGTGAGTACGCTGGGAGATTTCCGACACGGAGGTGGGGGACGGAATGTTACGTGGTTGAAGTGGGTGGTAGTAATCGTTTTTATCCTTGACAGCTTCTACTTCACAATGAAATCGGAACACACAGATCACAGCTCTCATGGCCAGCACAAGAGTCCGCCATCGCTAAGTTACGAAAGTAAGAGTCGTCCTTTGTCAACTGCATCCTTTCCGCTCTCTGTCAGACAAATGCGTCTTCGCTTTTATTCTGTCATTGGCTCACCGTACTTGTTTTTTGGAACGTTGCCCATATTGAAATTGACTGAGTACAACAATAGGTACAACTGCACCATCTAATGAGATCTAAGAGCAAAAACAATGGTAGGAATGCTCACAGTATCAGAAAGCGTGTCATGAAACAATGCGATTATTATGATTGTGGTTTTAGGTTTGCTTTTAATGTTTTGGTGACCTTATTTAGTGACATGATTGGTTAGAAACACCTCAAGGAATTTTAAACAACCACAACCACAATAGTGGAAGAGTTTTTTTTTCTCGTGTGTGCAAGTGAAGAACATGGGTCACAGTGGTTTTTTGTTTTGTTTGTTTGTAACGGGATCTCGATTAAAAAATTCATACCAAATTTTCTGATCTTGATGAAGTTACACATGTTAATTGAAATTTGTATCCACAAATACATTGAATACAAGCCCCCCCCCCCTTCAGACCCCAGTTCTATACAACCGCAATTATAAAATAAGCGTCCCCCCCCACCCCCTTTCAGACCCCAGTTCTATACAACCGCAATTATAAAATGATATCTCTGACCGTGTCAATCAGCACCCATTATCTTTGTGAGGACAAAACTCTTTGCACAGTAATCTCCTGCATAGTCGCCGTTCACCATTCAGGAATTCAACAATTAGATTTTTGTTAGATATTTGCGGCAGAACTCACCTCTTTTTTCTTTAACTGTGCACAGGAATCTCCTGCATAGTCACCGTTCACCATTCAGGAATTCAACAATTATATTTTTGTTAGATATTTGCGGCAGAACTCACCTCTTTTTGTGGTCTTTATGAAACGCTCGAAGATGCAACAAGATTCCGCCAAAGCCCACTCCTTAAGAGGAAAGTAGAACAGTGATTGATATTTTAAAAAAAACATGTTGAAGTGACAAGCTTTGAGGCTAACAAAGTTTAGCCTCGGTTGTTAATGGAAGTGGAGAGTGTTTGGTACACTCACCTGTCCATTTTCAAGATCAAATCAACAGCTAGCCGTTTATTTTTAAAGAGGACGGCAACTCCAAAATCTCTTGACAGTAATATGTTCTACGCAGTCCCACTATTCCGATTAGTATTTCATGTGTACGATATGAATTAAGCAGCAAAATCGAACCGTTTTTATTCATTTGGGGGCGTGGCCATCTTGCCACTTGCTGTCGACTGAAAATGACATCACAGTTGCTCAGGGATCAGATCACAACCAATCACGGTTCACCTGTTTTCTGAAAGCTGAGACATGATTGCTTGTGACCTGAGCCCTGAGCAATCGTGATGTCATTTTAAGTCGACAACAAATGGCAAAATGGCCGCCCCCTGAAATTGAACATATTGTAAACAAAAGTTTGGACTTGACTTCCCATTTAAAGTTCATGTTTTTAAAATGGGATTAATTTGAAATTGAAATTCAACAATTTCAGTGTAACATGTTGAAGTGACAAGCTTTGAGGCTAACAAAGTTTAGCCTCGGTTGTTAATGGAAGTGGAGACTCTTTGGTACACTCACCTGTCCATTTTTAAGATCAAATCAACAGCTAGCTGTTTATTTTTAAAGAGGAAGGGAACTCCAAAATCTCTTGACAGTAATATGTTCTACGCAGCCCCACTATTCTGATTAGTATTTCATGTGTAGGATATGAATTAAGCAGCAAAATCGAACCATTTTTATCCATTTGGGGTTGTGGCCATCTTGCCACTTGCTGTCGACTGAAAATGACATCACAGTTGCTCAGGGATCAGGTCACAACCAATCACGGTTCACCTGTTTTCTGAAAGCTGAGACATGATTGCGAGCCATGATTGGTTGTTAGACTAAAACGTGTGGATTTTGCTGCTTCATTTTATGTTCCATAAACACAATATTAATCAGAATGCAGTGTTTAGACTTAGTAGAGGCGCATACAATTTTATTGTGAAGAAAATTTTGGGGTTGACTTCCCCTGAATTCTAAACGATAAAAATACAGATTATGATCCTCAGATAAAAAAGTATATTAACACAGCGTACATTAAATATTTATAGTAAAGTATCAGCAATGTTATTTGCTTGTTGGCACAATAGATAGAGTGCTGCACTTTAATTTTGACTCTTGAAACCTGCACATTAAAGTTTTTCAAAATTACATCATACCGTACTTTATACTATTTTTCTAAAATCAATTCAGCCTTGCTGTAAATTGGGAATTTCTCCATTGTGAGACGAATAAAGGTTTTCTTATTCTTATTCTAATTCTTATTCCTATTCTTAGCGACCATACATGATGATATTTGTAGTGCGCCATTCTGTAAATAAAGCTGACAACATTATTATGTCACTACAGTGACATTGTATTGAATAAATCAAAATTGAAATAAAAACAAATTAACTCTCAATATTCTTCAATCTTACTTGTGGCTGAGACGCAAACGTTGTTGATGAAATCTAAATGCATGGAGTTGCCTGAAGGGCGGTTGCCGTATTTTGGGGGTGGCGAAATGAAAAATTTCAGCATTAAAAATATGTATAATGTATATAATACAGTGTGTGCTTGTGTATGTGTGTTATAATACTGGACATGTACTGCGTTAGGCCCAGTGGTGGACTCACCTTTGCTTGCTGTTACTACATTTTCAAAAACAAAATAAATCTTTACAAAAATAGATAGAGTAAATTGGACTGTCTCTCCCCTCAGGTATGACTGTACCAGATGAGGACACAGAGGCAGGACAGACGGGGAAATATTGCCTCGTGGCCATTGGAAGACTGCAGGTGTGTACTGTCTTGTTTTATTTGTTGAAAGAAACTCTTTCTGAACATGACAAAAGTGTCTCAGCAGTTTGATTAGAGAAATGTAGTAAATATGTTTCCTATCATACCCTTCTACAAACAATATATAAATAATTTGCATCATTTTGCCAATGCTGGAACCATTGCGTCCCGTTCGTACGTTAGTGACATTGCTTGACTCTCAATATATATATATATATATATATATATATATATATATATATATATGACCCATTTGTGGAAAGTTATTACTCGTGAGATGTTTTGCCTTCTTCTGGACTTGGAAACACTAGGTTGACAATATCATATGCAAGGTCGTGTGGTGAGAAATCATTTTGGTGAAAGCTTTTCTTATTATTTCCAGTTTTTCAGCACCCATCCATCCATCATATATAACGCGCTATTTATCCTCTCTAGTCTTCGGGCGAGTGGTGGAGTATACCCTAGACTGGTCGACAACCAATCGCAGGGCACATACAGTATCGACAAATATTTATGGTCACATTAACTAATTTTTCTCGCGGGCCACATTGTAGTTACGGTTTCCCTTGGAGGGCCATTATGAATTTTGAGAAACCATATAAATGTTTAATCCCCTCCACATATTACACACAGAACGCACAACAAATTCATGACAATGACAATTTGAAATTTTGGTTCAGACTTTCGCAAGCAACATGGAACTTGACATGCTTGATTTTTCTTTCGGGGGCCACATAAAATGATGTGGCGGGCCAGATTTGGCCCCCGGGCCTTGACATTGCAGGGGTGGGCAACTCAAATGCTAGAGGAGGCCACAATTTTTCATCAACACGACTGGAGGGGCCACATAGGACCATGCACTTACTGTTTTCCCATATTTGAATCGCAACCCCCTTTGCACGATACCCTTTTTAAGACAAGTGTTACACTGAGCTTAAGAGTGGGCATTTATTGTCACTTTTGATCTCTTGCGAGTTGTGAACGCAACTCGTGAGCTCGATGCTTGCACACACTTACTACTTAGTTATTCGAGTCGTGTATTCTTGCACGCCACACATGCACATTTCTCACTGGACAGTCTTCGTTCGTGTTTGCCGGCTTCCGCCTCCGGCCGACCTTTGCCGCCCACCGTGCCCCCGCTGAGCTGCCGTGCCTTGACTCCGGTTGCTGGGAGGAGCTGTGCTCTGCACACACACGTTTTCTATCAATGCTACTTTTTGTGCTTCTTCGGCGCTGCTCACTAGGAATCAAAATTTAGCACTGACATTGTGTCCAAAATGGCTGTGTCAAATTCACAGGCTACATCCTCTGAAGGCCGCATGACGTCACTTCAGGTGCGACTAGACTGCACATGGTTTCAGAATATCGATTAAGCCTGTTCAAATTCCCAACAGTCAGTGCGTTCCACAGAGGCTACATGAGGAGGAGCCTTGGAAGGTCTCAAAGGGCAGAGCCTGCGATTTGTCCTTCTAGAATTTGGAAGCCCACGTGCGGTCGACTTGCGCCGGAAGCGACATCATGTGGTCGAAAAATGTGGCTGAAAATGCGGCCTTAGGACCACGCAGCCTGTGAATTTGGCCACAGCCTTTGTTGCTGCGCATAGAGTGCAGCACACATTCTCGTTTGCGATTGGTCCGTTTCGTCACATGCTGCGAATATGTACTCAGCTTCCCCTGGCTAGACTCCTCAATACATAAGAGCAATTGTTGCGGCCTTACAGGTATTTTGCACGTCACACGAGGCGCTGGCACATATCAGGCACCTAATCTAATGATCTGATTGCGGGATTCCCTGTCAGCATTGTGGTTGTGGAAGTGCACACAGACATGGTAATATTCCATCTACCTAGCTTCTGTGTGAAAGGCGGAGTTTGATAAATGGCGGGTCGACTGATACAGCTATGATGTGAACATTTTGCCCCAACTTTGAAGCCTGAAATGTGGCAAAAGGCCAAAAAGTTCAAGGGGGGCAAATATTTGTGCAAGCCATTGTACATTTACAAACTGCATACAAATTGGTATGCAATTAGAGGCAAAGTTACAAAAATGGTTGAGGAAGCAGACCGGGGTTTGAGTCCACGCCCACCTGATGGCTATAATCTGTCATATTTGCAAGCAAATGTTCATTAAAATGTGCTGTCCCTCCTTTAATAAAGACATAAACAGTAAAAAGTCACTTAAACAGACATATTGTTGTGATTGGATCGGTGATCAGCTCTAGATTTTTTGAAATTAGCTGATCGCCCCCAAAAATCCCAATTGTGCACAGCCAAGAAGTTATCCATTTGCAGTTTTTGTACTCTTTTAGAAAACACAAAAATGCCCCAAGATGTGGCCAAAGCCTTGTCTATAGCAATTGGTGTCGAGGACGCGATACAGTTCGACTGAGAGACGCTTTGTTTCAGGGAGGAGCTATGTTTAGCCTGGGTTGTTAGTGGAAGTTACACTCCCCCTGAAACTCACCTATTCACGTTGTGCTCTTTCTGGCAGATACCCGCCGCTGGTCAGCAGAGGTGTCGTACAGCGATGAGGACAAGCCCCCAAAGCTGCCTCCGAGAGACCCCTTGTCCTTGGGCACCTCCCGCACTCCTAGCCCCAAGAGCCTCCCGACATACATCAACGGCGTGATGCCCACCACCCAAAGCTTTGCACCGGACCCTAAATATGTCAGTCGGGGTTTACAGAGACAGAACAGCGAGGGATCGCCGTGCATCCTGCCTATCGTGGACAAAGAGGGGAAAAAGGCCAGTAGTACACATTACTACCTTCTGCCTCACCGACCCACTTTTGTGGACTCCAAGTCCGTGGAAAAATTCCTACAGACCTTGGACAGCCCGGACTCGGAATGGGACTGCCACACCAGGCGGAAAGCGCCCGTGGATCTAGTTTAAGGATCCTCGCCACCCTCCAAACTGCTGCTTTTTAGTTTTGAGCCCGTTAGGCATTGAAGGACACAGGGTACGAGTGCACTGTATCCAGTTACTGCTGACGCGGCTCACCACAGGGTTGCGTTCAACAACTTTGAAAGATTCTACAGTCCGGAAGGTGCAAGCGGGTCTTGAACCACCTCACTCTCAGTGTTTTGCGTCCGGATGGTTGACTGTGATGGGTTGGGGCTTTTTTTTGTTTTTTTAAATGCTGCTTTTTATCTCAACCGGGACAAAAGGTCAGTAATGTAACCACGTGACACTTACTAGGGATGGGCATACTAATCGATTTCTCGCTCATGAGGTAAAATGAATCACGTCTCGAAGCAAGTGAGGCAAAAATAGAATGCGCTACTTTCGCTGGCTGAAGAAATTGAGCATGAGCTACTCCAAACATAAGGAAATTAAAAAAAAAATGTATTGCACAGAAATAAAAATTGAATGAATAATTTAGGTTCAAACAAACAGCAATAACAAAATAATATATTCCTACTTAACAGTTTAATACAACTGAAGAGTACTTGTTCATGTTCTGTACTGAATTAAAAAAAAAAAGTTTAAGCCACTGTAACTTCATGCACTGTTTGAATATTTAATTCAGTGATTTGGACAAAGGATGGATGGATGGAATTATTTATATACCACTAAGGGAAGTCTGCGAAATTACTGTGCTACACAATATGACACTAGCATAGAAACAGGAGTTCAGCACATTCATTTATTTGTGGTGGGGAAAAAAAGGTACATTTTCCCCCATTGTTGATCAATAAAATTCAGCCCATCCCTAAAATCAGTTATTTTAGGGTCAAATGAAGGATTTTAGCACACGAGTATCTACTGTATGTTTGGGTATGATTATCATCATATATATATTTCTTTTTTGTTTCTGTTGATGTTTTGTTTTTGTTGTTTTTCCCAACTTGCTTGTAGCTTCGCATGAAAGTCAAGTGCAGCTTATGTAGCCTCAAAAACAGCCATATCACATCCGTAACAGAACTCTTCCAGGTTCATCTGCCACCTTTGCTTTGTTTTTTTTGTTTTTTTTGGGGGGGGGGGGTTGTTTTTGTTTTGTTTTTTTCATGTGCAACCCAGCTAACGTGGGTTATCTGGCCATAACTGCGCTTTCACATAAAAAAATGGTTGTTGAATGAGAGTGTCAGACGTTAAAACTCAGCACCACCTTGTCCCACCATTCAGGCGTAAATCATTTACAGTGGCTATAAAAAGTCTACACACCCCTGTTCAAGTGCTAAATTTTTGTCCAAAAAAAAAAAAAAAAATTCAAAGCTGTGGCTACTGGCAACGCAATTGAAAAGAAGATTTTTTTTTTTAGAGAGGAGAGGTAAAAAATAAACTGAAATGTATTTGCACAAGTGTGCACACCCTCTTATAACTGGAGATGTGGCTGTGGTAAAAATGATCTCCCACCTTTTTGAAGTGCCTCGAGTAGAAGCCTGAACATTTTTGTGCTCACACTGACCGCTGATTGAAACTGTTTATCACCACCTACACCTCGATTAAGGCCCCAGTTCCATCCAAAGAAATGATTTATCTTGGTCTCATTTAAAAATTACATTTGAATTGGGTGTGTAGACTTTTAATATGCACTCCACATTGGCCCCTTTATGGTTCTGATACTACCTCCAAAAGGCAAAAAATTGTCCAAGTTGACTCCAACCACCCATTCCATGGGCAGAAAACCCCCGGCACGTACAGCCAGTGTCCGTCATCCCGAGTGTCGTTTCCGTGGGTGTTTTTTCCACGATCATATTTGTTACTGCGTTTTTTTTTTTTTGTTTGTTTTTTTGTTCGTTTTTTTTGCATTTGGAGGTTGCACAGAGAGCGTCGCCTTGAAGCTGGACATACACTGTAAAATAAAGGCACATGCAACGCAGTTACGAGAAGCACATTGTTAGCGTTGTTTTTAGCATTAGCATTCCTTGCCCACCTATGGCGGAAAATGCCTTTTCTTGATTTGTTTTAACGGTCGGCAACAGTTTGAAAGCCACTGACAAACGCCCGCAGGGCTTAAGTGGTACAAATGAACCCTTTCAATTGTTTACTTTGACGTTCTATCGCGGGCACTTAACTCAGTGTGAAAGATGCAATTTCAAATTAACGTTTTGTATAGTGTATGCCCAGCTTTAGTGAATGTATTCTTACTGAAATTCATTTTTTTTATATTTAGCTGTCAAGCTGTGAGTCATTGTTTGGAACACATTTGCTACCTCCCTCGATACGAATCCTCCATTTCACATTGTCCGCTTTTTGGGGGGATGATCTTATCTTTTTTTTTTTTTTTTAAAGGAGTATTAGGGCCACACGGAAAATACATTTAATTTAGGAGTTAAAAGTAGTAATCTTACAAATAAATTCATATTTAGTTCACATAAAGTTGAATACTGTGAGGATAAAGAAGCGGTGGGCAACTCCAGTCTTTGACTCTGCATGTTTTAGGTGTTTTCCTCTTCCAACACACCAAATCAAATGATCAGCAAGCTCTTCAGGAGCCTGATAACGATCCTGATCCTATGAATCAGGTGTGTAGGAGGAGGGAAACATCTAAAACATGCATGATAGTGGCTCTTGAGGACCGGTGTTGCCCAACCCTGGAATAAAGTGATTTTTTAAAATGTAGGAATATCAATGATACAATCATTTACTAATTATAGCTGTTTTTCCTTCACAAAGGACTCCGTGCCAGTAATGTGATTCCCCCTCCACCCATTTTTATTTTATTTATTTTCTCAGAAATATACGGCCTTTATTCTCGTAATACTTTTTTTTTAACTTTTTTAAAACTTCCCCCGAAAAGAATTTTCATCTTAAACACCCCCCCAAAACTTTTCACAAATATTTTTGTTTTATAGCTCCCCCCAAAAAACCTTTATTCTCAAAATACAGTGTGATCATTTTTTTCTTGATATCCAAAAAACAGAACTGTTCTTCTCGTAGTACTCTATTGTCATGTTGTTTTTCCCCATTCCATTGTCACCCTAATACTCCTTGATAAACCAAAACAACGACAGATGTATGAGGTTCATTGTGTGCTGTGAGCGAAGTGAGGATGACCTCTGTGAAAATGGAGATGGTCTGACTTCAACAATTGAGCAAGAGGATGAGTGTTTAGGGTTTACCTTCAGCGCGTGGACAGTCTTTCCAGTTCTGCTCATGCATTCCTGCCTGACATGATTGCAGTGGGTGTGGCCTGAGAGACTTTGGCTGCTGGCGGCCGAAATAGAGAGAGAGAGAGACAAAAAGAGAGGAGAAAAAATTATATATATATATATCTATATCTATATATAGATATAGATATATATAATGTATGTATGTATTAACAGGATATATATATAGATATAGATATATCTATATCTATAGATATAGATATAGAAATGTTGTTGCATTACCCAATGAACACATGAGGATGATATTGTAAATGTAGCACATGTATCGAAGAACACGGTGTTCACTTTGGGGGGGGAAACTGCTAAGGTCAATCGGTTATCGAAGTATACATGTTTATTATTTTTTTTTCTGTTCACAAACACATTGTTGCTTTGACTTCAAAAGTCAGCCCCACCCACCCCTCCTCTGAGAAAAAAAATGTTTACATCATACACTGGTACTATTTAATCTTAAAGGTATTCAAATGTCTTATAGGAAATAACGAAAAAAACCCAACTGAAGACGAAATAACTTCTCTGCTGTGGTGAAGACATGCACTGGGAGAGTTCAGTATGCTGTGTACAGTATTTAACGATTCCATTTGTTTATTATACATAGTTGTTTTTTTTTTCAAAGGAAAGTAAAATAAACTATTTATATGAATTGCTTTCAGTCTGCTTGGCTTGGACTAATGCACACACGCACACGCACGCGCACACACGCACACACACGCCCTGCTTTGCTTTATTGTGACTGGCCTCCATCCAGAAAACGACTGAACAAAGGCTGACTGACAGGTGTACAACAGCATTGTCATCCACTTCCTGGTTCACGCCCCATCGGATGCAGCCTCCACAGTCACCCACACACTCACGCACGCACGCGCGCGCACTTAAAAAAAAATAAAAGCATTCAGTGTGAAATAATGGCATCATTGCCGGGAATTTATTTGGTTTTGGACATGCACAGCCTTTCTTTTACTGGCCCCTAAAAGGACTGCTATGGTAACCAATGATAGTTTGGCCGGTTATCATAGACACTGCATTCTTCTAAGTTTTTGATTTGGCGATGTATGGTATTAGAAGGTGAGGTTAATGGCTGATGAGGCATTGATTGCGAATGAAATGCCTATTTACTGTATTACTGTTGGGCAAAAAACAAACAAACAAACAAACTTTGGTGCATACTTTGGATTACATTCAAAAGAAAACTATCAAAGTCATAATCAAGCGGTGCTACACAGTGTCCCCCGCCCTCAATTCTTGTATTGAAATATAGCACATGTACTTCTCAATTTGAACGTGCATGTGTGCAGGTAATTTGTCCCTCAATTATGCCAATGTGGGTTGGACACAGTTAATATTTAACGGCGTTACACTGCAAACTGCTGTTGCCCGGTTAAACATTTTCCACTCAGGTCAGGAGAGAAAAAGATCGCAAATGACGTTCATTAGTACAAAATGCCTCTCACATTAGACAACCACTACTTACAGGACGCTGACTATCATGTTGACCGAAAATAAGTCATGAAACACAGTCAGTCCAGAAAGAAAGAAATAAAGAAAGAAAATTTGTAGCATTGGATTCAGCTGCGAGGTCATTGTTTCTGTGCTGTCGTTTCATTGGTCCAGTCTGCTCTCTAGTGTTTAATATTTGTTATGACAGGAAGAGGCGCGCCAACACCATTTTCTTTTCTGATTGTTATTTCAAAATAAAAGTGTTTATCCTAAAAAAAAAAAAAAAAAAAAAAAAAAAGAGTTCATTCTCAAAATACATCTACCCTGGACATCTAACTTTACGTTATTTTCATATAATTCTGGTATTTTACCAGAAAAAATACATTATTGTCAGAATACTGATTTTTTTTCTTTATTCATATGATATTATGAATATTCATGTTGAAAAAAAATCAATCCTCCCCAAAAATAATTATTTTTGCAAAATTAATTTTTTTAAATGTAGGAAAGTATTTTTTTTTCAAACGTTTACTAGGCGTAAAAATGAAATTATCTTAATGTAAAAAAAAGAGTGCTTTATTTTCTCACCCCTATTCTAGAAAAAACATATTTGCACACATTTCAATTTAAATGTTACCTGAGTCTCATGTGAAATTTTGTATGAAGGGAAAAAAGGTTGCTTTATCCAAAAAAACCACCAAAAAAATACATAAAATAAATCCCATCAATACTATTCGTGCTCTTTTGTTTAATTAATTTTCTTTCAATATGAAACCATTTAAATAAAAATACAATTTTATTTTTGTAATTGTTTTTATGTCAAAAATGATAATTTTACTGTAAAAAAGTACTGTACAGGTTTTCCTCACATCAAGAATTTTTATTAACTATTCACAACATATGTGTTTTTATAAGGGGAAAAATGTGGATGTTCTTATTCGCGACAAAAATTGACTATTTTCATTTTGTGACTTCCTACTGTATGTGGGGAAAAATGTAACTTTATTCTGATAATATTATGACTTTGTATTTTAACTTAGAAACTAAAAATGTACGAGTTATGAAAAACATTTATTGAAAAGAAAAGACAATGCAAATGAATGTAATTTGAAGCCATAAATCAAATAAATCAACATATAGTTTGTGTCTTCAGCAGTTTCTCATATTCCAGAGCTGACGTTCAACACTTCGGGACGTTTTGTTGTCACCTGCAGGGACAAAAAGAAAGCACACTGATTTCAGCATGGCTGAATGTGACACTGTTATTGGTCTTAAATTTATTTCGACAAACAGAACCAAGAATACTGCACTTGCCTTTGTGTGTCAATTTTTTCTGGATGTGATCTGAATCTTTCACCCGTGTAAGCATCTGCTCGTCCCAAATTGTGTCGTCCTGCACACAGCCAAAAAATATTTGCCCTTAAGATTGTTCCAAAAAAAAAAAAAAATGTAAATCAAAATACGCTCCTTGGTGGCTGTGAATAACATCGTGAGGCCATCAGAGCGATTTGATTTATTGAATGATTGGTGTCTATACTTTGAGGCAACCATGACATAATTTTTTTAAGAAAACGTCAAAATAATGGAAATACAACATTTGTAATTTCATGATGATAAAGCTTTTCAAGAAAAGAGTTATTAATTTATACGACTAAAGTAGACAAAGTAGAGTTAAAAATAAAAGTAAGAGAGAACAAGTCATATAACATTACGAGAATAAAAATGAAATGTGACAGGACTGAAGCAAAGTAGTCTTCCCCAAAATCTAAAAATTCTCTTTTCCTGAAAAACACAATTTCATCATTTTCATCCAGAAATCTCCCTTCATTTTTTATCAGACGTTTTTAGGACTTGGATGAAAACTATACATTACGATCTTAACCCACCAAGTTCCAGAACGCCTCTTTTTGAGGAGGAAGTGAACCAGAAGGACCGTCATGACAATCAGCAGGGCCACTGCCAGTGTTCCGAAAAGAGCTCCAAAGAAGCCCGGACCCCAGCGGGAGCGGTCACACCTTAAGCCGTAGTACTGCCGTATATCTGACTTGTAGCAACTACAGGGGAAACAAGAAAACATGCATATTCTAATCCAATCGATTCAAGGGGCACATAACTCCTGTCATGGCCAAAGGCATTCATTCACTCAACTGTACGGGGCCTTTATTTGAGAGAGATTACAGGGATAAGGCGTTTATTTTCTTTCAAGTCGAGTATACGTGCCATTTGATTAAGTGGCACTGAGGCCACGATCTGAGGTGAGGCGTTTGTTTTTTTCTTAAATGGATGACACAGCAGATGATTAATCGAAGCGTGACGTCAAATGGCATGGAGGCTATTTTGTTAGGTAAGGCATTTATTTAAGTCAAAGAACCACTAGATGATTTAGTGAGGCATTGCTTCTGTTACAATTAAGGTTAGTATCTGAGGAATGGTGTTTATTTGTTCATATGGGCAAAGCACCAAGTGATGAAGTGAGGCACGACATCGAAGAGGATGATGGCCAGTATCTGAAGTGAGGTATTTGTTGATGTGGGCAAACCACGAGGTGATATATTCATGGCACGGCATCAGTTTGAGCAAGGGTGGGCAAACTTTTGTGCTTTCATTTTCAAAACTGATAAATGGGCCAGGTCGTCTGTAAATTATGTAATGGTATGTAGAGTATTGCAATAATAATAATAATAAAAAAATCCAGATTTTTTTAAAATGTTACCATATGTATTAATTCAATTCAATTAACCAACAATAGATATAAAACTGGTGTAAAACTGTTAATTAAAAAAATGTATATTTCAATGTTTTTGATTAATCCATTTTTGCCCTGCAATAAATTCATACACAATACCAATTTTTATACGAAAAAGAATATAAACAAAATATATAAAGAATATATAAAAGTGAAAGAAACGCAAACAAATATGCTCATGAAAATGGTCGGTGGGCCACGTAAAATAATGGAGGGGGGGTCACATGTGTCATATAAGATAAGATAAGATAAGATAAGATATGTCATACTTTGCCATACTTTTAATAGTGTGTAGGCTGCTAATTAAAGTTATACGGTCATTAAACAATGATGAGAATATTTGATTGCTTGACTGACTTATTTCTCCTCTCTGGATAGCGCAGGTGTACCTAATGAAGCGTCTTACCTGCACACAGCCCCTCTGTGAATATCATTGAGACATTGACCGCGCACACTGCAGTAGTCCGGCATCGTCTTGCAGGGTCCAACGCACCGCCACTGACCGTCAGTCAACTCAGGGGTGTAATTAGCAAAGGCGGAGCAGTCGACAAAGGGCAGAATGTCTGTGATGTCTGATTGCAGACAACAAAGCAGGTTTTTATTGGAGCGTCAAGAGCAACGATTGAGGTCGGACTTACTTTTAATCTGGGGTGGCAGGGAAACCACTTCCTTGAATAGCACGCTGGCGTTACCGAAGGCTTCAGAGAGGAGCTGGATGTTATCGCTCTCTTTCAGGATTTGTGTCAACGTGTCATCGAGCCGAGTGTTGAGCCAGTGGATCTGCGTGGCGTTGTTCTGATAGGCGTACTGAGCTCGGCTCGTGACCAAAACGCTTCTCGGCCTGCAGTGCACCAAATCCATTGGCACCAAATGAGGATACTTGGACAAGAACTGAAAATAACGAGCAAGTGATTAACGGAGGCATTGCTTTGATAGATCGTTGAAATGAGGGGTAATTTGTTTTAATCGACAAAGCACCAAGCCATTAACTGAGACTTGAGGCGCAGCGTTTATTTGAGGTGAGGACTCCAGTTGACGTGACAAACTCCTCACCATTTGAAGAAGCCTGACAAGCATGTGACGATGTGGTACTAGCTGAAGTGAGGCCTTTATCAACCGATGGTTAGCTCAGGAATTGTGTCGAAAAGAGCAAAGGTCTCTATTTGAGGTGAGGTCCTGAAATAAAATAATAGCTGCCTGTCAACGAACGGCAATGAATTGTTCTGGTCAAAATGTTTTCCCTCCATTTCCTGGTTGATGATGATCACACTTTTATTTTTATTTTATAACCAACGACTTTCTGCTGTGCCATCACAAAATAATGACGCAGAAAAAAAAAGCAAAACCTATGACATCATACGTTATTTATTTTGTGTTCATGAAATAAGTGTCTACCTTCTCTAACAGAAAGCAAAAAAATTGGATTATTCGTTCGCTGTTCAGAGAGTGCTTCCTCCATCTTGCTTCAATAACACTTCCCGGTCTGTAGTAGGGAAAAACAGACACCAAATGAAAAAAAAAAGCTTGTGTTGAATCAAATGAGTTTTCACAATTCGACCAGTAAACTTACAGTAACTTGACAACGTCAATTTTTTCAAAGGCTTCAGGGTTGGCCTTTTTGCACGGTGTTTCGAGCTGAAAAGATTATGCAGAAGTGCAGGTTTAGCTTTGGATCCATTTTGATTTCCTGTTGAAACTACAGAAAAATGCTACCACTGACCCCTCCCCCAAAAACAACAAACACTGGTTATGACAGCACAGAATGTCGTAGTAATACCTCAATACTGCCCCCTTGGGACAGTAAGCATCTTAGGGTGATGACATTAGAGCAATTTGATTGGGCCTTGAAGCCACATTTCCACCTAAAACTCTACGAATGTATAGTTCCTGTTACTTGGACAGTTACGGTATGATCAACAGGTCAAGTGAGGTTTTTGAGTCTTCAATGAGCCTTACATGCACGCTTTTGGAATGCGCGAGGAAGCCGGAGTACCTCAAGAACATGCAAACTCCTCATAGGCAGGCAGAAATTCGAACCCAGAACCTCAAACATATAAGGCAGATGTGCAGTTGATATGAAAAAAAAAATCTCTCTACCTCCTTCAGCAACTTGTCGATGAAATTTAATGACTTTGGTGAGACCGAATCATAATAAGCATCCAAAAAAGTGATCTTGATGTCCAAAGTAATATTAGGTTTTCGAGTAGGAATTGCTGCAGTATCTGGAAGTGAGGAAGAAAAAAAAAGTCCCCAGACAGAGTGGTATCAAAACAAAACAACATACACAAATACTCTATAGAGGGAGTCCTTGCTGTTTGACAATTTCGTTCCAATGACAGTGATGTAACGTAAGGAACATATCGCAGTCTATCAATACCCACTGCAAATGAAGTCGTAAAACAATCAAATCGAAAGGTTTATGTATGGCAGTGTGCCATTGTTCATCAAGGATCCCCTGTAGTGGTACATTGAAGTTGTACAATATGTGGAATTGGACCGACATTTTGACAAAAAGATACGTCATCAAGTTTGAGACCCATCGTAACAATTCCAATTTTGATCAGTGACTGTGATTGCAGTCGCCCAACTCAAAGTACCACCGCAAATCGTTTAGAAAGGTGTAGTCCTCCTTACCAATATTAGCAGCTATGGAGTTCTCTCCGAAGGTGCAGGTATCTCCAAATGTACCCTCTTGGCAAAGGCAGAGGCAGTGACCGAGTTCTGGACTGAACGTGCAATTGCCTGCCGCACACTTACAGTCCTCGTCTCTGCACTGAGGGGTAGTGGATTCACCCGTTACCGTGGGAGTGGATTGCGACTGTGTGATGGTAGGAGATGTCGTGATGAGGACTTCTGCGGAGGTCGCTGCCCTCGTCCCGTCATGTGTGACGGTAAATTGTGTCGAAGGTGTGCTACCGAGGGAGAGTGTGTAAGGTGCGTGCTCCGTGGATGTATCTGGATCAGAGGTTTGCGTCTGGTTAGTAGTTGGTGAAGCAGAGACCACTGCATTAGTTGTAATTGGTGATGTTGAATCTGTCGATAATCTGGTGATTCCTGGTATAAGTGTGGCTGCCGTGGGAGTACTAAGGTGAGGTTTTGCAGTATCTGTGGAAGAACTGGATGTTGCTCTCGACTGGTCATTGTCAGTCGTTTGCGTAGTTGCCTTGTTGGTGGATGTTTCAGGTGACGGATTTGATTCTGTTGATTCAGTTGACATAATTGTTGTCATAGATTTTGTCTGTGACTCTGATGTGGACGATATTCCACCGGATGAGGCTTCTTGACTGGTTGGTTTCCTCTCCGTTGACGTCACATTCAAACTTGCCGACTCTGTGTACTCATTAGGTGTTGATCCTGCAAATGTTACAGTTGTTTCAGATGTAAGCTGTGGTTTTGAAGATGAAGAAGTACCGGTTGTTGCTGGTTCATTGCTGGTGAGAGTGAGTTGAGTTGTTTCTACATGGACTGGTGTTGCATCTGTGTCGAGTCCTGATGAAGGATTGCTCAACTGGGTGGTCATTGGTGGGAATGTGGAAGGCAAAAATGAGGAAACTTCAGTGTCTATGGAAGAACTGGATGTTGCTATAGACTGGTCATTGTCAGTCTTTTGCGTAGTTGCCTTGTTGGTGGATGTTTCAGGTGACGTGTTTGATTCTGTTGACATAATTGTTGTCATAGATTTTGTCTGTGACTCTGATGTGGACGATATTCCACCGGATGAGGCTTCTTGACTGGTTGGTTTCCTCTCCGTTGACGTCACATTCAAACTTGCCGACTCTGTGTACTCATTAGGTGTTGATCCTGCAAATGTTACAGTTGTTTCAGATGTAAGCTGTGGTTTTGAAGATGAAGAAGTACCGGTTGTTGCTGGTTCATTGCTGGTGAGAGTGAGTTGAGTTGTTTCTACATGGACTGGTGTTCTGTCTGTGCTAAGTCCTGAAGAAACTTCAGTATCTGGGGAAGAACTGGATGTTGCTATAGACTGGTCATTGTCAGTCGTTTGCACAGTTGCCATGCTGGGGGATGTTTCGGGCGAGATTACTGATCGAATATATGTTATGGGCAAGAATATCGCTACTGATGTCATCTGCTGCCCTGAAGAGGAGGATGATTCAGTTGATGAATCTTGACCGATGGATTTGTCTTCAGTTGATCTTTGATACAAAGTGGGTGACTCTGTGTTGTACTCAATGGCTGTAGTTGATGGTTTACTACTGGTTTGAAAGTGTCGTGTTCCCACATTGCTCGGTCTAGTGTCAGTTGCCGTGAAGTGACTGTTGTTGGTCGTTTCCAAAGTTCCTCTGGTGGTCGGTGTTTCAAGTGACGTGTTTGATTGAGCTGAACCTGTGGGCATGATTGTAGCACAAGATGTTGACTGTGTCTCTGACGACAAGTAAAAAAAAATCCATATTTGTTTCATGGTTGGTCAGTGGAAATGAAATCGTGTTTTTTTTTTTCTTTTAGGCTCTGCAGAATGATTGATGTTTTCTTTCAAAATCTTTGACTTTATCACATCTGACATTTGATACGTTTTTTGTACCAAAATACTTCAATGGTCATGCACATTAGAATGCATTTGATTAAGCTTTATTTTATGGTCATCAATATGTTTGTTAAATGAGAAATTTCCAGTCCAGGCAGTCAATCTACATGCTTTGATATTAATTCGATCAGTGATTCCCAACCACGATGCCATGAGACATAATCAGGTGTTCTGTGGTAAATTGAGCAATTTTATTTACAGGACATAAAATGTGCCTACTCTAATACAATACAGAAACATTTTTTAGTGTTAAATATTTTCGATCCAAACATGGTGCATTAATCACAGACAATTATGACCTAAACCAGATGAATATTTACATTTTTTTTTAAAAGTGACACCATTAACAAAGCCTTAGCCGTTGATTTTTATTTTTTTTTTCCAAATACTTGGTACTTCATTTTGGTTTGTCACTTTCAATTTTTTTTACCGTGTCTTACAGTTACAAACAAAATAAAAATACCCCAAATTCATAAATAATGAATTGAAAGACCCAAAATTTGTCGAGATGTGCTTTGAATTGAACAGCAATTTTTTTTCCCATATTGGTGAGAAATGAGCAAAGGACAAGAACATTCAATCTGAAAAGAATGAAACGAAATGAAAATGCTTTTTGCTTTAAAGTTTTTATCACAAACGTGATTTGGATCATGAAAATAATTTTCATCTAGACAAATAGCATTGCACTCGTTTTTTTTTGCATACAAGTGACACAAATTCATACTGTTTCATCAAAAAAGAAATGAGAGTTACCTGGTTCTTGTGTGTTGGTCACACTGAATACAAACGTCATCACAACGGCTGTGTTCATGAGAATGGTGGAAAACCTCTTCAACATCTTCATATTCCCTTCTTCTCACTGACGCATCCAACAGGTGTACCCTGAATCATTTCACGATATTAACATGGATAGGGAAAACACTGAAAGGTTTTGCTGCCGCTATTTATGGTCTCATTCACTTTGATCGTCTTGCATATAATCGTTTTTGTAATCATGTGTCTCATAAATGATCAACAGGTCAACTGAGATTTTTCCTGATATCGCTCCTGCCTTCTGCCTACTGGAGCATGAATTCCCCTGAAAGTACATGCACTCACACACACACACTTGTGCAGGTATTGGGACAATACTTGGATGGGCGAGATAGGGTACAGAAATATTAATCACCGTCAGGTAAATAAAAATTCACATCTCACTAGTCAAGCTTATCGCTCTTGTTCAAAATGCATTTTGACACGGAAAGAACACACATTTGGAAGATGTCTCGAACAACAAGGGTGGTCTCACATTTTTTTCCATAGCTGTATGTATATTATATATAAAAGCAAAGCGTGGAGAGTCTCTGTTGCACGAATGGAGTGCAGTCAGTGCTAATTTTCAATCGCCTCTGAAATATCCATTCTTTCTTCTTTCTTCGTTACTTGCCAGCTTCATCCTAATCTGGCCTATCGAGCATTTTCATTACTTAAGAGTTCTGCAATGTTCGCCGCTTTCAAAATACCATAAGTACAATGTATTTATTTTCTTCACATTTTGCAGTCATTTCTATAATTCAGTAAACTAATTACTTTTTTGTAAATTATAAAAATACTGTATTGTAAAATTTTAAAGACATTTTGTGCTTTTCCCAAAGCAACATCATTTACAGTATCATTTTCGATTACAATCGACATCATTACAATTTATACAGCCGATGAGGAACTGTATGACCGCAAATGGATTCTTATTTGTGTGAAAGTCAGTATGCGAAATGAGTGGGTGGAAAAGTGCTCTTGAGACAAGGAAAAAAAAAAACGTCACGCTGACTGGCCCATAAAAATAACTTGGCAAATAATGGAATGGCCATTGCCATCCACTTGAGGTATTTCATCTGATCATTTCACGTTAATCACCCAGCACAAGCACGCACACACAAAAAAGGAAATCAGAATAACAAAGGATCAAGATTGAAAGATTACACGGGGGAGAAGAAAGGAGGAAGTGAATTCTTGGAGGAGAATAAAGAAGTAATGAATGAAGAATTAGGATGCAAAGATTTATTAAAGACCAGGAAAGCAGCGCAGGACAGAAGGAAAAAAAAGGAGGGTACTTTGTATCTTTGCTACAAAAGTAGCGGAGATCAGCTTTGGGGTCAACTAGATATTATGTAGGCCTATATAATATAATAATATTACTAATATAAACTGCAGTGGTGGGATTGGGGCCACTATGTAAATACACAACACACAAAAGGGATACAGTATTTGGCTTTTTGGTGAAATTTCAGGAAGAATCTAAAATGCATTAAATCTACATATAATATAGATTTTTTAGATGGTCATATATTCAAAATTAAGTCATAATTTTACATGAATAAAGTTCAGAGTATGAAGTCATCATGTTACAAAAATGAAATTGCATCGTTTCGAGATTAAAATCATAATACAGTATCAAGAAACGATTTGAAAAAAAATGTTCCAGCGTAAGGATGAGCGATGTCTAAAATTTCATTAACAGATATATTAGTATCGGGGCATGGTGGCCATTTCTGAGCATTCTATTACAATGCCATAAATTTTATGAAAATGAAATAATGAAAATCAGAAATTGCTTTTAAAGAAAACCTTAAAAATAATTTGACCATCGGGATATTCAACCAAGGTGTGTCCTCTAATTAGCATCACTGGTGTCTTCAAACTTGTAATAAGGCACTCGGCCTATTTACAGAATGACAAGTAGTCACTAAGATGATTTGGCGAGATGACGTGTACAACACTAAACACGATCCAGAGGAAGTCAAGTCTTGGGAGATTAGAAAGAAAATTAGAGACAACCATGTTAAAGGTAAAGGCTACAAGACCATCTCCAAGCAGCTTGATGTTCCGGTGACAACAGATGCACAAATTATTCACACATTTAAGATCCTGTAGCCCAGGGGTCCCCAACCGCCGGTCCGCGGACCGATACCAGTCCGCCGGGCATTTGGTACCGGTCCGCACAGAAAGAACTTGCCTTAATTCCGTTTTATTTATTTCGGAAAACGAAAGATGTTTTATTTTGAAAAACTACCGAATTCTCCGTTACATCCGTCTGTGTCACACTTGGCACACATCAAGCCACGCTTCTCCGTCACGTCCGACATCCTACCTGTGTGAGGCGGGGGGTTTCTGCAGCAACGGCGACGAAAACAAAATTACGAAGTATACTGGACATAAACCACACACTTGAGGTGTCATTGTCTCCTATTACCCCGAGATGGGACCGTCTGGTTGCAGAAAATCAAGCTCGGTGCTGTGTTGAGTCGTCATTTTCATGCACTTTGAATTTGCGTTGTATCGTATTTTGAAGGCATTAAACATTGCCATAGCGATCGGAGTGTTGCGGCCAGATTAGACGCTCCTTGTGTTTATTATTATATTTCGAAAACACCACAGTTTTCATGCAGCTCATACCATATTATTTTGTTGTATTATTTCCACCACACCTTAAATGCCGGTCCCTGAAAATATTGTCTGACATAAACCGGTCCGTGGGGCAAAAAAGGTTGGGGGCCCCTGCTGTAGCCAACCAACCTAGACGTGGCCGTAGGAGGAAAATGAATGACAAAATTGAAGAGATGGATACTATGAATGATAACAAAAGAGTCCAGAACATTTATTATTACTTTTGTCTAGGGCAGAGTGCAACTGGGTGGATTTTTGATACGATCCCTAAATTTAAGCCTTCGTAGGAACATGATACTCTGTCCGATGCAATCGCTCTGTAAAAGAGGCTTTAAACAGGAGTTGATGTATTCCCTCACCTTTAATTATTAGTTGACTCTGTGCTTCAAACATAATATAGAATGTACAAAAACAGTCTCTGTGAGCTGCGGTGACATCACAACTCATCACGCTTCCGCCTCCACATTTTTTTCCGGTTCCGTCCGTGCCGCTTGGGCTCGCCGACGCTCCGCCTCCGTCACCGTCATGGGATGGAGGGGGAAGAACCCCGCTAAACCTGAGGGAATAGAAATGGTGACTTTTAGAAATGTCTTCAGAGTTGGGTACAATTCATGGGCGAAGAAATGAAAATCATTTGCGTAAGGGAGATGAGCCTTATTTGTCGGTCAAATCATTCAAATTAATATAATATCTATCACCTTGTATAGGTATCAGGTACACCAGAAGACTATTGAAAGACCATTTGCCTTGAATAAAGATGCTCTTTTTTCACTGACATGGTCAGAAGAGTGAACTAATGTTTATTATGTACAGCCCTCGAGCTTTGTTGATTGATATCATTTCATTTTTGACAATATTTTTACTATTGTATTTTTAGAGCTTTTTTTTTTTTAATTCAATAAACATGTTTATTGTTGCATAACAGTTTTTCGTATTTTGAACACAATGGATTTTTTTTTCTCAATAAAGCTCTCGTATGGAATTGTGTTACCTAACATTGTGCCCAGTCAGTATAAAACCCAACATGATCTCCAAAACGCTAGCAAACAGCGAAACATAGAGGCACCTAGAAGTTTGGCTACTGGCTTGGTCGGGTGCGCGCCACAGCCGATCCAGTACTTGATGCGGTCCGAGTTGAAGCTGACCAGCTTCTCGTTGTACACGTTAGGCAGCGGGTCATAGGTGCCCAGCTGCTCGATGTACTTGCCGTCCCTTGCCCGCTTGTTGTACGCCGCCACAATGCGGTAGAAGGGTCGGTTGGCTTGCTTGTGGCCCGCCAAAGCCATGCGGAGGACCACATAACCACCGTGGTATCGCTTTAAGAGCTGCGAGGCTGCAACAGAAGATTGGGTTTCAAGTTATTTTTATTCCTCCATGAGGCAAACCATGTGAAGTACAGTGAACCCCCGTTTATTGCGAGGTATATGCTCCAGATCCACCTGCAATACGTAGGTGAAAATTTACAACACATTTAATTTGATTTTTTTAAAGCTGAGACCCTCCAACATGATTGAGACACATTTAAACTTAACACGCTATTTATACACATTGAAAATCTATTTGACCACACTCCAAAAATTGAAAGCTAAATGCAGATTTAAAAATAAATACATCTAGATCAGTGGTTCTTATTTTGCAGAGCCAATTCCAATGATGTTGCTGGGGAGATGACATTGTGTGGGCCTCTTTTTTTGTTCTGGGGAGTTATACCCAGTTTACTCACTCAGTGCAGATTGCCTCACTTCTTGCTGTTTCTCTACATTTTTATATTAGGACCATTTTACAATTATTTTAACCTTCCCTCATGTTTTTCTTTTGTTTATTGGCGAAACTGGTATAAATCTATATAAGATATGGTTTGATAATATTCAAAAAATGTACAAACAGAAGCCTATCCTAACCGGGTACATAAACGCCCACGGGTAGTAATATGAGTAACTACGGTGTTTGTTTTAATAGCTTGATGATTAACTTTATATTCGTCCACAAAAAGATGTTTTTTTTTTTTTTTTTTTAATTATAACACTATACTTTTCAGCTATAGTTTCATGCAGACTGGATAAGATTTGAGGATCAGACGGAGGGTTCTTTATTAATAAGTGTATCATGTTTTTATGCAATTCATTTATTCTGAAAAAAAACGGGTTGAAATTTCTTCATATTTGTCAGACTTTTTTTTGGAAAATAAAATGAATACAATAGTATATATTTTGTGTGTCTGACAGGGATACTGATGGTTTCATATGTATCATGCATCGCTCCAAAAGCGTAATGGTTGGTGTTAAAGGCTTCCAAGTCCCGATATGTAAAACAAAACAATAACAAAATATTGCTTTGTAAAAAAACAAAACGAAAATGATGAACTTCTTGTTTTATCTTGTGTAACAACTACACACTTTACACAGGGGGGTCCTCGGTTTACGACGCTACCAACACAAAGGCTTCGAGGTTGCGTTTGACTGCTTTTCATCATGTATTTATCATACCAAACATCTAATGATATTTTGACTTTACATCTGCGTTAACGTGTGCTCCGACTTGCGTAAAAAAATCGAGTTTAAACGTCACCATTGGAATTGAACACGTTGGTAAACTCAGGACCTCCCCTGAGGAGGTTCTTCGAGATTCTATGTGTGCAAAATGATTCATTTTTAGAGACTTAGATACAATACTCACAGAGATGGACCATGATACCTGCTGAATAGTTTGAAAATCCTGCAACAGAGGAAGATTTCTTTTTTCAAATTGCGTTCCAACGGCGTATTGTTTACATAGGCTATAGCTCTGCCGAGCTAAACAGCAAAAAAAATGAAGTGGAAAATTGAACGGAATACCTCTGAAGTCTTGAATGGCGTGGGGAACAGCACAATGTGTCCAGTTAATAGTAGAGTTGAAATTTTAGGCAATATCAACTGCTTATTTTGGTCGTGCTGTCCAAACCGAATGTGACATTTGTCAGGGCGCAGCCATGTTTCAACCGGAATTTGCGTCGGTCTTTCCGGAGAAGATGTTGATAGGTTTCCAAGACGGTAGGGGGCAATGTT